TAAGAATTCAACCAACCATGGATTGAAAATATTGTGGGGAGGGGCTGGAGAGATGGCTCAGAGGTTAAGAGCACTGGCTGCTCTTGCAGAAGACCTGAGTTTGATCCCTAGCCACCCACATGGCAGCTAACAATCATCCATAATTCCAGTTCCAGGGGAATCCAGTGCCCTCTTCTTTCCTCCTCCAGCACGGCAGAACACAGTTGCACTTAACATACATTCAGGCAATACACTCATACACATAAAATAAAAATAATAATACTTTTTTTTTTTTTTTAAGAAAATATTGAGGGGAAAAGGCATCTGTTTAGGACCAGGCAGAGCCCGAACAAACATAGCACCTGACTTGGAAACCCGTGGCTTATGTGTGCATGCTCAGGCTGTGATGGGTCTGCCTAGCTAGAACGTCAGAGTCCTCAGCACTCATGTACTGGGTGCTTCTTAAGAGACCCTTCATTTCTAAGCAGAGCAGTTTTCAGAATGAACAGGCTCCAGATGGGGGTAAGGACTAGACACCAAACTTGGCTCTGGAGCCCCGAAGTTGTAGGTCTTCCAGTCACACTCATGCACACCCTGTAGCCATGGTTAGGCAGGCACTAACCCTGAGGTTTCCTGTAAGTGACTCAGCCCCATAGGCAGGAGGACAGGCTTGCTGTGATCCCCCTCCTAGCCTGTCATCCTCTTTCCTCCTATTGTTGCCATTCCTAACAGCTGGGATATGTCCTAGCTTTGCTCCATGGCAAGCCCTCTCCCAGTATCCCTCCCCCCAAATGACCTGGAATGTCTCTCAAGGGACTCAGTGACCCCATCTGTTACCAGGCCAAACCCAAGGGCCTGAACCAGCCGTCCCATTTTTTTTTTTTTTTTTACATTATTGATTTTTCTTCAGTTGTGATAAAATAGCAGATAAAAATTGGTGTATGCAGCCAGGCATGGTGGCGCATGCCTTTAATCCCAGAGCTTGGGAGGTGGAGGCAGGTGGATCTCTGAGTTCAAGGCCAGCCTGGTCTACATAGTGAGTTCCAGGACAGCTGGGGCTACAGGGAAACCCTGTCTCAAAAAGACCAAAAAAAAAAAAAAGTTGGTGTATGTAAGTCAAGCCTACCTCAATTTGAGTAACTGTGAACTGAAGGGAAACTGTTGGAACTGACCTCCACCCCAGTGAAGTAGAAAGTGCCCCAGAATCCAGCATACTACCTAATAATGACCTTTTGTTCTCTTTTTCTTTTTTTTTAAAGGGTGGGGGGTGGTGTTTGTTGTTTCTGTTTGGTTGGGTTGGGTTGGGTTGGGTTTTTTGGGGGAGGGGTCTTTTTGAAATAGGGTCTCCCAGCCTATCACAGCCCAGGCCCTTGTATAGACCAGGCTGGCCTCAATCTCACAGAAATCCACTTGCCTGCACCACAATGCCAAGAGCTTTCCATAACACTTTTTAAAGTTGCTAAACACAGCAAACTGATGCAACCATTTTGTCAAAGTTGGGTTTTTTTGGAGGGGGTGGTCTTTTTTGAGACAGGGTCTTCTTGTAGCCCCTGCTGTCCTGGAACTCACTAGGTAGACCAGGCTGACCTCAAACTCACAGAGATTCACCTGCCTCTGCCTCCCAGGTGCTTTCTAAAGGCATTCGCCACCACACCTGGCCAAACTTTGTTTGTTTGTTTGCTTTTGAAATGGGGCCTGGCTGAGTGGCCCAGGCAGTTCTAGAACTCATTCTTTCCTGAGGTCTGGGATCACAGGTCTACACCCCGCACACAACTAAAAGTTGAGGTCTGAACATCTTAACTGGCAATTTATTCATGATTCATCATAAGTCATAGCTGAGCCCCAGTTTTTAATAATGTAGACTTGTCTTGGTCACCAAGGGCATTGTCAGACTCCCAGACAGGAATTCAGGGAAGCAAATGGTCTTGAGGACACTTCGTGTATATCAGGGAATGATCCAAAGGAAAGAGCTGGAGGAAAGGCTGGGCTAGCCACTGCCTTTCCTCAGGAAGGGCTCTCACTGGCAAGCTGGGCTCCTGCCCTGAGTCTGTCAGAAAGCTCTACTCCCCTTGCCATTGCTATGGGCATGGGGGAGAGGGCACTCAGATTGGATTCATCCATTACTGGGGACTTGCCACAGGAAGCTGGTGGGGAGATGACAGGAGGCATCAACGTGCACATACACACCTTACCACTGCCATAAGCCTGGAACAGTCTACCCAAAAGGGAAACCTTCCCTGTCCCTCCCTCCCTCCTTACATTCCAGTCATCCTGTCCGACAGTGGAGAAAGTGAGGCACAGCAGGCTTCTAGCTAGGCAGTCCCATCACCAGCTGAGCGCTTGGCTGCTAGAACCGTGGCTTTCTGAGCCAGGGCTGTGTTCAGGCTCTGCCTTGTTCTCACCGCTCTCTTTTTTTTGACCTGCAAATATTTTCCTTCCATGGCTGGTTGAATTCATGGATCTGGAGAATTAGCTGTATCACTCTTCTCTTATAATTCAAAACTGAGTCTGAGGAGCAGAGCCAAGAGTAGCCAGTCTTCACCTTAAGTTTCCCAGCAGGAAGTCCACAGTAGAGAGCCAGCTACAGCTGTGCTCAGGATTCAGGTGTGTTGGTTCAGTGAGGCTTATGTCCTTGGCCTACCTGCAACATCCAGCAGAGAACCTCCTGCACAGAAACTGGTCTGAAAGCTGAAGGAAGAAAGGAACACAGCCCACCCTTGAGCTCTTTAGCCTTAGGGCAGAGGAACCTTCAGCATTCCTTAACTGTTTGAGTGATACTGTGGAATAAAAACATTCTTGGGCTGGTGAGATGGCTCAAAGGGTAAAGGCACCTGCTGCCAAGCCTGAAGACCTGAGTTTGATCCCCATGACCCACATGGTGGCAGGAAAGAACCAACTCCTGAAAGTTGTTCTATGATCTCTACTCACATGCTGTGGTACACACACAATAGTAATAAATGTAAAAGTGGGGAGGGGGCCATTCTTCTGAGTCTTATCTCCTCCCAGCCTAACTTGGAACAAGTCACTTTATCTAAGACCTCAGGTTTGAGACTGGTTGATCATGTAACCCAGGCTGACCTCAAATTTGCTATGTAGCTAAAGATAACTTTAAACTCCCAATCATTCTGCCTCTATTTCTTTTTTTTTTTTTCTTTTTTTTTTTTTGTCTTTTTGAGACAGGGTCTCCCTTGCAGCCCCAGCTGGCCCGGAACTCACCATGGAGACCAGGCTGGCCTCGAGCTCACAGAGATCCCCCTGCCTCTGCCTCCATTAGGCTTGGAATGAATAACATTTAGGTCACTTTCTTCGTGTGCCATTGGAGACCTTAACCATATCTCTTGGATCTCAGGCAACACCACATTTAGGTGTGTAAGCAGAGAGGTAAGGATGATGTATGGTAATGTAGTACTGGTCTTTATGTTAATAAATGACCAGTCAGGAAACCATTCTTTCTCAAACTATAACAAAGTCATTTGTACAAAAAAAAAAGCCAGACATTGTGGCACATGCCTTTAATCCCAGCACTCCAGAGGCAGAAGCAGGCAGATCTCTGAGTTCAAGGCCACCCTGGTCTACATAGTGAGTTCCAGGCCAGTTGGGATTACAGGGAGACCCTGTCTCAAAAAAAAAAAAAGTCACTGTGGCTATGTATGATGGCTCACACTTGTAATCCCAACATTCAGTAGCCTGGGGCAGGATACATTGACATGAGTTTGAACTCAGCCTGGGCTATAGAGTGAAACTGTTTCATAAAAACTCACTGAGATATGTATTAGGGGGTAACTCCTAATCTATATCTTTTTTTAAGTTCTAAAATGTGTCCTGTTTCCCACAGTTCTCCCATCTGTTAGTAACAAATGCTTACTTTGTGCTAAGTCCCTTATAGGAATTGACATATTTAACCCCTATAAGCAGCCTATTTCACAGAGGACCCCAGAGACTGAGCCCCAACCCAGATTCGATTTTTGAGACAGGGTTTCATGCAGCCCATGATGGCCTTGAACCCACTATGTAGCCAAAGATGACTTTGAACACTAGATCCTCTTGCCTCCACCTCCCAAGTGCTGGGATCACAGGCATGCGCCATCATGCCTGGCTATTTGACTTCTCATAACTCTTGGAAAAGCTTCAAGAACATTCTCTTGGCAGGCCCTCATACATACTCCCAATTAGTTCAGTTGGTATGTTAAATTCTGCTGGAGTGCCATGCCCTGCACTTGCTGGATGTGAGCCCAGTAAGCTCATGGCCAGGAAAGGTATCCCCCATCTTGGGGTTTTTCAATCTAGTAAATGGTCTTTCAGTTCCATCATAAACTAGAAAGTCAGTTTATAGGCACTCAGGAGTAGGCCAGCCCCATTGCTCTTGCATGAAGCAAGCGCAAGTAGGTGGTTGTCCCAGGACAGCAATCTGATTCTCCCTCTGCGGCATGGTGGCACATGCCTTTAATCCCAGCACTTGGGAAACAGAGATGGGGGGATCTCTGTGAGAGCAAGGCTAACCTGATCTACATAGCAGTTCTAGTCCAGCTGTGGCTACAGAGAGACCCTGTCCCAAAAAAACAAATTGCACTTATTTTGAACTTGCTAGGTGCTGAGTGAGTTAGGGGAGGTGAGAGAGACAGCAGGCTTGTTATCCAGCTGTGCTCTTCCCCACCACCCAGGCTCTCTTAAAAAGGAGCCACCAGGAGCCACAGGCAGCTTCCACTCAACAGGACCTGGCTGAGTTCTGGGAGGTAGCAGACCCTATACAAAGGCCTGCTGTGCCCAGAGCTGTGGAGTGGGGAACAAAACTGCTCAGGCTTTTAGCTCTTCTCACATCATCTGCCCTCTGCCTTCGTGCAGCACAGTGAGAGCCCAGACAGTTGCCTTCTTGACAGAGACACTCCAGCAATCCAGACTCTCACACCTCCTTGCAAAAGGGCCAGCCAGCTGATGAAGAAAGATGTGATTTGGGAAAGAGGGGTATAGTTAGCTACCCAATCCCTCTACCCCATGGCCTCATTCCCCTTCTCGTTCTCCAGGAGGATGATGAAAAACTAATCGAGGATATCCAGAAGGAAGCTGAGGAGGAACAGAAAAGGAAGAATGGAGGCAAGTGTTCTCCCTGGGTATATGTGGGCCTGGAGGATCCCTGTCCCTTGAAGTGGGGGGCAGTGTCCAGACCATGAGAAGTCAGGAAAAGCCATAGGTTGTTTTGGCACCCCTCAAAGAGGAGGAGCTCCCAAGAGTGGGTTTGGGCTCTGACAGGAAATAAAAACCTAAGTAAGGAGGCCATGGCTCACCACCATGGAGGTCACTAAGAGAGGGACGGAAGCTGCCGTGAGCCCCTGAGGCTCTAAGCAAAGGTGTCATGTAGGCCATACTAAGCTGGACCATGGCAGAGTGACCGAGTGACCCTTGGGAAAGTAGTTGTCCTTTGGTGTCTCACTTTGACAGGTAGTGGGTGTCTCACACTTGACATAATACCTAGCCTACTCCAAGAGCCAGCTCTTCTTTTTTTTTTTTTTTTTTTTTTTTGTTTTGGTCTTTTTGAGACAGGGAACAGGGTCTCCCTGTAGCCCCAGCTGTCCTGGAACTCACTATGTAGACCAGGCTGGCCTTGAACTCACAAAGGTCCGCCTGCCTCTGCCTCCAGAGTGCTGGGATTGAAGGTGTGCACCACCACACCTGACAAGAGCCAGCTGTTCTGGGTCTAGAGGAGAGTATGCTGAAGGTCAGAGGTAGCCCTCCTATTCTGGGCTGTTCTACAAGCTGCCCAGCCCTGGCACAGCCAGGGTTCTGCTTGCAGGCAGAAGTCCATTGGAGTTGGTTCAGCTTGTTCACCTCCATTGAATCCTACCTCTCTTTTAGAGAATACCTTCAAACGCATTGGGCCTCCACTGGAGAAACCACCCGAGAAGGTGCAGCGTGTGGAAGCCCTGCCTCGGCCTGTCCCGCAGAACCTGCATCCACAGATGCCACCCTATGCCTTTGTGCACCCACCCTTTCCCCTGCCCCCTGTCCGACCCATGTTCAACAACTTCCCCATCAATATGGGCCCTGTGCCCGCGCCCTATGTGCCCCCCCTGCCCAATGTGCGTGTCAACTATGATTTTGGCCACATGCACATGCCGCTGGAGCACAACCTGCCCATGCACTTTGGCCCTCAGCCACGGCATCGCTTCTGACATCCGTAACCCTGGCCAGCCCCACTGAGTCTGCGGGAGAGCCCAGCCTCACCTTCTGAGTCAGGGTGAAAGTTCCTCACTTCCCTCTTAAGAGTGAGCTCATGCCCTCCTGCTCCTTCCTTGGCAAGGGCCACTGTTCCTCCAGTTCTAGTAACCTCTAGGTGCCAGCTCTCACTGGACCAGAAGTGGGGCATCTCCCTAGCTGCCGTCTTGGTGTCTAGACAGTGGCCCTAGCTGTGAGGTAGATCCCAAGATCATTTGCTCCACCCCTTCCCCAGCTGACAGAGCCTAGTGGGGAATGTGGCCCACCACCCCCAGGCCAGGGCTTTCCCTTTCCTGCCCAAGGCCCACTCAGGTCAAAGGGCCTCAGAATCGTCTGTGGGCAGGTTTTGTTCTGTTGTTATCTAAAGCAGTTGCTCCTGTTCACATAGTTTGGGCTGAAGTTTTTTTGTGGCCTGTGGCTTGTTTTAAGTTTGCCTCCATCCTTGAAAAGTTAGGTTGAAATTATTTCCCTAGGGCCAGCAGCTGCTGAGGGTTAGTGGTCCTGATACTTAGACACCAAACAAAAGGGCCTTTTTCCAAAGTGGTCACTTGTCTGTGGGCTGCCCCATTGCTGGAAGAAACCTTACTGTCACCAATCTGGGATGGGTAGCTTCTCTCCCAAATGTTTTGGGATTTCACCAGGGGTACAGATGGCCTATTAGATCTGTTTCTGTCACAGTAGGCCTCATGGCCACCCACCTATTGCCTCAGTGTTCAACAGTGGGGGCAGGCAGAGGATGAGGTCCCAGCACCAGAGTAAGGGCAGCTGAGAATCTGCTCTGGGCTTATGTGGGGTCCTGCCATGATCCTATAGCCTTTTCCCCCTCCTTCTGGACCAGGTCTTTGCACTAGAAGATGTCACTCCAGCCTGTTTGTTGAGTGGGGCCAGCAGTAGACTTTCTCACCCTATGCTGGCTGTCCTTGTCCTGTTGTTGTGGGGTGCCAGCAGATTCAGAGTGCATGGACCTTGGAGCAGGACAATGCTCGGTGTATTCAGAGGTATGTAGGAAAAAGCCCTCCTGAGGTGCCTGTGGATCACTTGAGCTATGCTACTAGCCTAAATGACAGTGCCTTGGAAAAGTGGGCCACATGCTGCATGACAGTATCCCACGGGCACCTTAAACATTAGCAAACTCTGCACTTCCCAGAAGTCCCACGGGCAGGCCAACTACTACTCAGAGGCCTTGTGAGCTGCTGGGCTGGACTGGACTGGACTGGGTCTTAATCCTACCCAGTGTCCCCATCATGTTGCTCCACCATGGGGCCTCAGAGACTAGATGAGGAACCTGACAGTTTCTGGGACAGGTAAGAAGAACCAACTAGGCAGGTAGCATTCAAATCTTGACACTGGGAAGGGTGAGGCCAGTGGGGCTATTCCACCTAAGGCCAAGCCTGAGGCATGTCCTTAAGATGCATTCTGTCTTTGGTTTCACATGGCTGCAAGGGAGGCTGCTGCTGCCTGTCTCCAGCAAAGCCTCTAGTCTAGTGTGACTTTCTAGCACCTCATTGTTCAGCAAGGCCGGGGAGGTAAGGGGTAGTGACTCTGCCCAGCCAGCGAGGATCACAGCTTCTAGTGCCGGAGCCCATGGACCAGCCCTATCAGGACCAACAGGGATCCCCAAGGCAGCTGGCACTTAGCTCTGGGGCCCAGGCTGCCCCCTGGCTTGAGAGACTTGTCTACCCTCTCCTGATGTATTTGCCTTAAAACTGGAGAAAATCTAGTATTTGCACTTAGCAAAAGATTTCAGAGTTTTAAAAAAAAAAGTGCATGATCAGTCACTTTGTACACACACAAAAAAGATTTCCTAGTTAGTTAAATGTTTTTCTTTACCTTTTAGTAGTAAAAATAAACTAAATCTGTTTAAACTACTGTGTGTAAAAAGCTTGTATCATATGTAACTTGAACTTTTTGTAAATAAATGTTAGTGCGCTCTACTCTTGGCTTCATTTGTTCCCACTCACAGATCACACAGGTTCCCAGGAGCCCTTAGATGCAAACAAGCACCAAGTACCACTTACCTCCCCAAAGGTCATGAGACCCCTGATGGCATCAGCCATGGCCAGGGAGAAACCAGTTCCCTTTTACCAGCGAGAAAGAAGATAGCTGTTCTTGGCTACGAAGGCCCAACTAGGGTACTAGGAGGTGGGTTTATTTTGGAAAGGGTTTTGAAGCACAGAATTCCCTTGAATAAAGTACAGGCAATCTTTCATGTAGGACCCTACCCCAGATACCACCAGCTCAGCCTTTGAGAGCAATCTGCAGATCCTTGGCTGGCTCCACTCAACTGGAAAGGGACAAGAAGAGTTCAAGCACAGCACTGTGTCTGGCATGTAGGTTCCTGCCCAGTCCAGGTAGAAGGACAGGAGCACACTGGGGCTCACTCACCACCTCATGGGCAACACCTGTTCCCCTGGAACCATCCACCAGGCCAAGCAGGCATTGGCCCTGCAAACTGAGAAGGCCTCAGCACAGGGAATGTGGGACCTGCAAATACACAGGGTAACCATGACAGTACTCCAGCAAGACACAGTATCCTGTCCTGCCATTTGCTGTTTCATTGAACATTACATATACATATATATAATATATACACATATATATGAGAAAAATGTTGTAATGATTTTGAGACAAAAATTCCCTATATCCCCAACTTGTGAACCAGTCTGTACAGCCTTAATTGCCCCATGTCATCAAGGGCTGCTCCAGCTTAGGTTGCATGTTCTCTTTTTCAGTGGTATCACAGACTCTGCAGCTGGATTGCACAGGTGAAGGTTGGCCTCCTGTCCCTCTCTGACAGGGAAGCACTGACATCCCCCACCCTCCCCTGGCCCCTGCTTGCAGGTTAACACATGGACCCATTGCTCGGAATTCAGGCTTTGGTTTTCACAGAAGTTTTTCGATGCTATGCCCTGCTATACATGCGTTCCCCAGTAACTTTTGTGGGCTAGACACCCATGTGCATCAGGTTTGATTTCATTTTTTGGTCTTTTTGACACAGGGTCTCCCTGTAGCCCCAGGTGTCCTGGAACTCACTATGTAGACCAGGCTGGCCTTGAACCCACAGAGATCCACATGCCTCTGCCTTCTGAGTGCTGGAATTAAAGGCATGTACCACCATACCCTGCATCACAATTTTTAATAAAACCATTTTTTTTATTTGTATGAGAATTTACCTGCATGTATGTGTCACATGTGTGCAATACCTGTAGAGGCCAGAAGAGGGCATCAGATTCTCTGGAACTGGAGTTGCAGATTTAGCTGTCGTGTGGGTGTTGGTGACCAGACTCCAGTCCCCTGCAAGATCAGTGCTCTTAACAGAGATGAGCCTTCTCTCCAGCCCCATAAATAAACATCAGAAAGACTGCATCCTCTTCCTTAAGATGTAAGCATTCGAGTGTGGCCTAGATTGATCACAGCAGAGCAGGCATAGGGACATTAAGGCATGTTGAGGTTGGAACCGGGCATCACTAGCCCCTGAGAGACCATTTGTATCCCCTTGGCCTTCATGCCACCCCATCCCACTCATCCTCAGATCTTAGGGTGTACTGACATCACTCATAGACCTCTCTTCATGCTCAATTCTGATGGGACCCAGTGTCAACCAGGAAGTCCAGGACTTCCTCAGAGCTGACAGAGCCACAGGAAGTGGTGACACGAGGCTCCAGCCTGATTCTTGATTTCTTTCTCCATCTGTGGCACTGACCACCCTCAATCTCCTTAGGGATATTTCCCTGAACCTTGAAAGACCATAAACACTATTTGGCTCAGAAACATCCTTGGCCCCAGATCAAGAGACTGGAGGACTTAGGAATACTAACTTGGAAGAATATATCTGTATAGTGGGCATGGTGATACATACCTGTAATCTCAGCATTCAGGAGTCTGAAGCAGGAGAATCACTGAGTTTGAGGTCAACCTGGGCTACAGAGTGACATCTTGTCTCAGAAAGAAAAGGGGGGAAGGAAAAAGAAAACTGGGGGAGAGGAGATAAAGGAGGAGTGGAGAACCAAAAGGAAAACTACCTGCTCAGAAGGAAATTAGAATGCATTCTATAAAATATTGTTGGTGAAGACGGTCTGACTACAGGAAACCACATGAATGTTAGAATCAGAAAATGTGGCAGAGTATGGTGGTGCACACCTTTGATCCCAGCACTTGAGAGGTAGAGGTAGGCAGATCTCTGAGTTGGAGACCAGCCTAGTCTACATCATGAGCTCCAGTCCAGCTAGGGCTACACAGGGAGTCCCTATTTCCAAGAGTGGAGAGATGAGTCAGTGATTATAAAGAGCACTGGCTGCTTTTTCAGAGGACTGAGTTTCGGTTTCCTACACCCACATGGCAGCTAACTACTTTCCATAACATCAGTTCCAGGGGACTCTGACACCCTCTTCTGGCCTCCACGGGTGTACTCACATATGGGCAGGCAAAACACTCATAAAAAGTAAATCAAAAAAATCTCTTTAAGTCTTAGAATCAGAAAACAGGTGAGAGTTATTTTCACCAGTGCCATGGTATGCAAATCACCTTGGCCAGCTGGAGCCTCGGTTTTCACATCTGTAAAACAGGATTAGCTGGGTAGCCCACTAAGCTCTCCTCATTGTCCTTGCTGCAGAGATATGAAAAGTTTAAAGTCTAGAGAGCTTCTCCCTAAAATATGTTTGATTGCAATTATAATTTGGCATTATTTGCAACAGCCAAATACGGAAGCAACCCAGGTAAGGGTGGTGGTGCAGACCTGTTGTCCCCACTACTTGGGAGACTAAGGCAAGACGACTGTAACATCAAGGCTTTGTCTGGATTGCAGAGTCAGTCACAGCAGGCTGGACACCAATAAGACCCTGTCTCATAAAGTAAAAAGAAGCCAGGTGTGGTAACCCACAACTTAAATCTCAGCACTCCAGAAACAACCAGATCTCTTGAGTTTGTAGCCAACCTGTTCTACATAGGGAGTTCCAGGCCAGTCAAAAAAAAATCTAAAAAGTAAAAAGAGGGCTGGGGGTGTGACTCAGCCATAGAGCACCTGCCTAAAATCCCTTGGTGAGGGGGCTGGGGGCATGGCTTAGAGATAGAGTGTTCATCTAACATGAGGCTCAATCCCCTGCACCTTAAAAAAAAAAATTCTGGGTGTGGTGGCGCACGCCTTTAATCCCAAGTGCTCGGGAGGCAGAGGCAAGCGGACCTTTGAGTTCAAGGCCAGACTGGTCTGCATAGTGAGTTCCAGGACAGCTGGGGCTACAGGGAGACCCTGTCTCAAAAAAAGACTAAAAAATAAAAAATAAAAAAAATAA